TAAACCTGAAGTCGTCTTATTAGGCATTATACCTGTTGATATTAGTAAACAAGAAATGTACTTAATTTTACATGTAATTACTGTGGCGAGGATTGCATTTGCTCAACACTGGAAAAGTGAAGAACCACCTGCTGACGAACTGATCCTAAAAAAGATATTGGACTGTGCAGAAATGGATAGACTGACTTTGTCATTGAAGGAGAAAGAAGATGCTGATTTCTATCAAACCTGGGACTCTTTTTATTATTGGCTAGAGAAACAGGACTTTGTATAGATTTAAATCTGTTTCTAAGTTATCATAAATGGAAAAAAATGTGCGGGCTGACCCAGCAGGTCCAATGTTTCTGATGATTGATGTTGTTTTTAGTTTTTCTTTGTTTTAGGGTTATAACATTTTGAATAAAACTTATTATAAAAAAATAAAGAACAATGCCCTGCAAGGGGGTAGAAGGAGCCCCCTTCTGCCACTTCAGGGTAGATAATATCTCTGCTCCTTCCCTTTGCCTTCCTTCCCTTCCCATCTTTCCAATTTTACCTTTTTTCTCACCTCTAAAACCTGTTATCCATGCCATCTTGAACCAAGAGTTATTTACAAGAAGAGCAATTTGATTAGGCTTCCCACATCTAACCCCTCTTGCATTCCTACCTCCTTATTTGGCTTCCATTCATGTTTCCCTATCTCCATGTCACCTACATGTTGTTCCATTGCATACAATCTTTCTCCCCATCTTCTATCTCCTGAATGTTTTTTATATAATTTTCTTTCCAGTCTTGTAGTAAAACTTACATTCAGATACTTAAAGTAGGGAAAGAAAACATTTTGGGTTGTAGGCATACCTGGTAATTTGAGAAACAGTCCTGGGTACCATCACAAAATGGCTGACATCAGAGGTATGGCTAGTAACCTGCCCAAAAGACTGAGTACAAATCAGAGGTGGGGAATGAGCCCCAGCACACTAAACAATTCCTTTGAACCCACAACTTTCAGCACCAACAGAAATCTATTTCAAAGCAATCCCAGATGCAGATAAAAATGTTTTAATTTTAAAACAGTGGAAACAGTTGGACACCATGGTGGGAAGCAAAAAATGCCCAGGGGCACACTGGTATAAGTAGGCACCACACTGCCTAGGCTTGCCCAAGTGGTAACCTGAGGGCCACATTTGTCGTTCACAAGTTGTGGCCTGAGGGCCACATTTATCATAACATTTGTGGTGAAATCCCACCACCCCACTGATTTCTCACTGGTTGTAACATGCCTTCTCTTCACTATCTTTCCTAGAAGTCCTAGGACTTTAAATTGACTACATTCGCTTGGGTTATCTTGGTATGCGAGTTTGTACACCCACAGCCAAGTAGGGTACAGCACTTTAGACATATGTAGGAAAATTCTCATCTGCCTAGGTAAGAAGGCATCAGGGGTAGAACTTAGTTGTGACAGATCAGATCATTGAGCCGGTCAGAGATGCAAGGCAAACTTAACAAGGAAAAAGGAGTCAACAAAAGCCAAGGTACAGTACTGATGACATCAGTTCTAACCAATCTCGGAACTTTTTTCTTTGGGTACCCAAGTGTACATAAAGTATTTACATTTCCAAAAGCATGAAATGTAAACTCATTTTCTACCGAAACTCACATGTAACAGGATTTACTTACTGGACAGATAGATCCTGCAGGGCAAAAATTCTGTTGAAATCAATGGGAATTAGGTTGAGTAAATATATTTACTCAAGTCAGATTTTATCCCTCTCCTGACAAGAGATTGGAGTAACAGCTGTTGTGATTAATGTGCCATTAATTTTGGCAAAAGAATCAATTGTTTATGAAGCATGAGTGGTTATTAGTTTCTAACTGATGTTGGTACAACAAACTGCATCTTCCCTGTCCCACTTCCCTAGTGGCAAGTTTATCAAATGTATGCTGAAGCATCTGTGAAACCCACAACATACCAGATATATTTCTATGACAATCATAATCATACAATGGGGCCTACAACAAAATGTTGCATTGTGACGTGTTCCTGTTTACAGTCCTAGCCAACTCCACCACCCTATATGTTTGGGATGTATATGGTGAGGGAAATACACTTTCTAAATGCTCAGAGGTATTCTCACAAGTTTTTCCTGTGTTCCAGAAATGAACTTCCAGTACTTGGTCCAGTCTTGGGCTGACTCCTAGGAAATTTGAGTTTGGAGCCTAGCTTGTAGGATTTTGAGCATAACTTTGCTAGCATGTGAAATGAATGCAGTGGTACGATAGTTTGAACATTCTTTGTTGTTTCCCTTCTTTAGAATTGGAATGTAAACTGACCTTTTCCAATCCTGTGGTCACTGTTGAGTTTTCCAAATTTGTTGGCATATTGAGTGTAGCACCTTAACTGCATTGTCTTTCAGGATTTTGAACAGCTCAGCTGGAATACTGCCTCCTCCACCAGCTTTGTTGTTGCTCAGACTTCCTAAGGCCCTTTTGACTTAACATTCCAGGATCTCTGCGACCACCCCATCTTGGCTAGGCTATCTGGAACGTTAAGGTCTTTCTTGCATAGTTCTTCTGTGTAATCTTGCCACCTCTTCTTAATCTCCTCTGCCTCTGTTAGGTCCCCGCCATTTTTGTCCTTTATCATGCCCATCTTTGCATGATATGTTTCCTTCCTATCTCCAATTTTCTTGAAGAGATCTCTGGTCCTCCCTATTCTATTGTTTTCTTCTATTTCTTTACACTGTTCATTGAAGAAGGCATTCTTATCTCTTCTAGGTATTCTCTGGAATTCTGCATTCAATTGGGTGTATCTTTCCCTTTCCCCCTTGCCTTTCGCTTCCCTTCTTTCCTCACCTATTTGTAAAGCTTCTTCAGACAGCCATTTTGCTTTCTTGAATTTCTTTTTCTTTGGGATGGTTTTAGTTGCTACCTCTTGTACAATGTTGCAAACCTCCCTCCATAGTTCTTCAGGCACTCTGTCTATCAGATCTAATTCCTTAAATCTATTTGTCACCTCTACTGTATATTCATCAGGACTATAATTTAGGTCATACCTGAGTGGCCTAGTGCTTTTCCCTACTTTCTTCAATTTAAGCCTAAATTTTGCAACAAGAAGCTCATGATCTGAGCCACAGTCAGCTCCTGGTCTTGTTTTTACTGACTGTATAGAGCTTCTCCATCTGTGGCTGCAGAGCACATAGTCAGTCTGATTTCTGTGTTGACCGTCTGGTGATGTCCATGTGTAGAGTCGTCTCTTGGGTTGTTGGAAAAGAGTATTTGCTATGACCATCGTATTCTTTTGACAAAATTCTACCAGACTGTGCCCTGCTTCATTTTGTACTCCAAGGCCAAACTTGCCTGTTATTCTGGTTATCTTTTGGCTTCCTGCTTTAGCATTCCAATCCCCCATGATGATCAGGACATCATTTTTTGGTGTTAGTTCTAGAAGCTGTTGCAGGCCTTCATAGAACCGATCAACTTCAGCCTCTTCAGCATCAGCGGTTGGGGCATAGACTTGGACTACTTGATGTTGAATTGTTTACCTTGGATTCAAACTGAGATCATTCTGTCATTTTGGAGGTTGTATCCCAGTACTGCTTTTCCTACTCTTTTAATGACTATGAAGGCTCCTCCATTTCTTCTGAGGGATTCTTGCCTGCAGTAGTATACCTGATGGTCATCTGAATTAAATTCACCCATTCCTGTCCATTTTAGTTCTCTGATTCCCAAGATGTCGATGTTCAGTCTTGTCATCTCATGTTTGACCATGTCCAGCTTACCTTGATTCATAAATCTTACATTCCAGGTTCCTATGGAGTATAGATCTTTGCAGCATTGGACTCTCCTTTCACCACCAGATACATCTGCAACTGAGTTTCATTTCGGCTTTGACCCAGTCACTTTACTCTTTCTGGTGCTACTAGTACTAGCCCTCTGCTCTTCCCCAGTAGCACACTGGACACCTTCTGATCTGAGGGGCTCATCTTCTGGTGTCATATCTCTTTGCCTGTTGATACTGTCCATGGAATTTTCATGGCAAGGATACTGGAGTGGGTTGCCATACATGCCTGTAACTAACAAAACACAGTACTCTAAGGAAACTTCTAAGATCCTTAATTTGAAGAATGCATCCCAAAGAAAAGCCTTCAACACCCAAAACTCTGGAACTCATTAAAAAGAAAGCTCTATTCAGTACTATAACACAGACAATCTAGAGAAATAGTGCCTATTGTTTCATCCTTTCCACAAAACTTACTGCAGAAACAAATCTCTGCCAGACATATTGCTATGTAAAATGTAGTCTCCACTCAAGACCCGGAATGCTGTTGAATCCAACCAAGCCTAACGGCTGGATAGAAATGAGAACCTTTTCTCCCCCCAAGCGCACTGTCCCACCATTTCTTCCAATCCTGTGTGAGGATGGCAAAGGAAATCCAACGTCAGCTACGCTGGGACGTCCTTGGCCCGCTTCCCTTCATTTAAACAGGCCGCCTTTCTCATTCTCCGCCCCTTCTCTTGGTTGTCAGGCACGTGGTGCAAGGAGAGCGCGCCGGGACACGCAGCACAGGAGGCGAGCCCGGCAAACGCACCGGCTGCGGCGCCCCAACGCCGCGCGCCCGGAGGCCGATGCGCCCCCTTGCTTTACTCCTGTATCACCTGCACACGCCAACAGGGCGCAGCAGCCGCAACTGCCCCGCCGGCCTCGCCTGATGGGGAGGGGGTGATTCCCCGACACGAGCCGCCGCCGCCTCCTCCTCTTCCTCCTCCTCCAGATTCTCCTGCTTTCTGGATATCGCCCTGGCGGATTGGAGCCAGCGAGGAGGCAGGCGCCGGTGCTCCGAGCTCACTCGCCAATCCGCTGCCTCTTTCTTTCCTTCTTTCTTTCTGCCGCGCAAGCCCTGCCGCCCGGGCTTGCCGCCGGGGACTACCTCCGCCCCAGACCGACGGACGCCGCGGGCGGGGAGCGCTCAGCTGGGATGGCCGCGGGCACAGCGCGCGGCTGAAGCTGGAGCGGCCCCGCCATGGCCAAGCAGTACGACGTGCTCTTTCGCCTGCTGCTCATCGGAGACTCGGGCGTGGGCAAGACCTGCTTGCTGTGCCGCTTCACCGACAACGAATTCCACCCTTCGCACATCTCCACTATCGGTACTGTTGTGGGCGGGGGCGGGCGGGGAAGTGTATTGGACCGCCGGGAGGAGGAGGAGGAGGAGGAGGGGATCTGCCAGCCCGGCCTCTCCATCGGGAACGGGGACAAAGGCTTAAGAGGGCCAGCAAGGCTCGCCCTCGAGCGGGAGCGAGCCTGAGCCGCTTACTCCTTATGCATCGACCCCGGGGCCCGGCTTAAGTGAGGAAGGATGGATGGCGACCGTTGGGGCTGAGCAGCTACTCTCCTTCTGCTCCCGTTGCCGGGGTGGGGGTTACGCGGCGCATCAAGATACTGCGTCTTTGGCGCGGATTAAGGAACGCGTGTGTACCAGCGCAGCTAGGAAGAACAGGGGAGATCTCCAATCTGAGAATTGGGCTCCCTGAAACCCCTGAAAGCAGCCCGGGCAATAGGCACCAAGCTCCCCTCACCCCAACCCACAGGATCCTTGTTTTTCTTCTTCAGTGCTCTAGCTTCTAGTTACCTGTTAGGTGTTGCATCAGTTCCGGGCCTTGCTTCAGTTGTAGGGAGCCCGTTTGTATTCTAGTCCTCCTATTTTATTTTAGTCCTGGATCCCGAGTTTGCCGCTGTCGCTGCTGCCACGGCCGCTGAATGCAGTAATGCCAGCTCACCTAAAAGGTGAAAATAAAAGCTACGTCAATAGTCTAAAACATGAGGTAGGCATAAACCCGTGAGTCATATGGGGGTTGAGAAAAGAGAAAGCAAGCAAAAAAAAAAAAAAAAAACCAACCCTTTGCTTTTTGAAATGCTAAGTGGTGCTTATGCTGGTCCCAATGAATAAAGTCTGCTTCCCACATGTCATTGACATGCCGACAAATCACACCTGGGTCTGGCCATGTACATGGAATGGGACTGCATCTGAGCATCAGCTGTTTGTGGGAGTAAGGAGATACATTTGTATGCTGAGAATCTGGAAGCTGCTACTGTATGAGCCCATTCTATTTTTAGGTACAGTAGTGTCTTGTAGGAGCATGCTCATGAGCAAAGAACATGTGAAGCATCCCTGAACTGGGAAAAAACTGGTTCAGCTACAGAATGCCTTGTTTTTCTGCATTTCGTAGAATTGCTTATCTGAAGTGGGCATGGCTCAAAGTTCTGACAGACTGGAGTCCTAAAACTCAGAAATTATCAGCAGTACCCCATCTTAGTTGTAAAACATGTTAAATAAAAATAAAAGACCTTTTGATACATGAATGGAGTTCCTGCTAAATAACCACATCCAAGGTACTGATGTCTAGAACATAAGGCACAACTGCTATAATACTGCTTTTCAGTTTTAGAAACTGAACCCTACAGAAGTTACTTGTAGATTTGGAATTTGGGGGTGGTTGGGGTAGAATTGTAAAATGGGCTTAAGACTTCTGCCTTTGCAGAGGGCAACTGCTGATGTGTATGTGCTTCCTTTGGAAACTATCCATCTACCAAAGTCTTAATTCTACCATTGGTATAATTATTTATTTATTTATTTATTATTTATTTAGGAGACTTCTATGCTGCCCCATTCGCCGAAGCCTCAGGGCAGCTCACATCCATAAATAAACTTCCATAAAATAATATAAATTAACAGTATAAATTAAGTCGCCCTGGCCAGAGAATAAAATGAATAAATACTATTAACAATTAAAATGACATTTGAATAAAAAGGTCTTCGCCTGGCACCGAAAAACAAATAACGACGGTGCCAGCCGGAACTCTCTGGGGAACGCATTCCATAGATTGGGCGCCACCGCAGAGAAAGCCCTCCTCTGAGTACCTACCCTCCTAATTTCTTTCACGGAGGGTTCCTGGAGAAGGGCCTCTCCCGCAGATCTCAGGGGGCGGGCAGGCATATATGGACGTAATTGCCTGTGCCTTGATTCTTAAGGCTGGCAGTGGCAAGCAGGAACAAACAACTTGAGGATGCAGGTATATATGGACATGTCTGTGTTGTCACGAACTGTTTGAAACGGCCCTGAGAATTCACGGTCCAGTTGAACTAGGGCTCACTGGAAGGAGGAAGGGCTGCAGGGTAAATGGGGGAACCCCGTGCTGGAATCGTCCTTGCAGTTGCACAGACCCTTCTCACTTCCTTAGGGAATACTCATTGGCAATAGAAGCAAAGGTAGGACCAGTGGCCACTACCGAAAATCTATTATTTGGACATAGGGCTGCTGGCAAATTCTTCTAAATCAGGGGTCCTCAAACTTTCTGAACAGGTGGCCAGTTGACAGGTGCTAGCGGTGGCTGCGGGCCGCCAAGGCGGTACCGGTGGGGGCGAGGTGTCAGCTTGCTCACGAGATCATTTTCTCCGAGCAAGTCCTAAACAACCTCCTCATGTGCAAGCCGCACGTGCACCCAGCGAGTGCAAAACGTGTGGCACAGGCAGGTTAGAAGGACATGGTGGGCCTGATTCAGCCTGTGGGCCTTAATTTGAGGACCCACGTTCTAAATTGTTCCAACTTGTAAGGCTTTCAGTGGTGCTAGAGGCTGAATGCTAACAAAGGAGATTCATTCGGCTACATGTTTTGCTTGTTAACAGAAGCAGTCATCCATCCTAAACATTGCATTGTAGTAGTAACAACATAGCACCACCAAGATTTGATGTCGCTGATTTGCCCAGCACTCCAGCCTGTCACTTCAGTTTGTTGAGGGACAGGCAAGCCAGAAGCTAGGTGGGAAGGGAAAAGATGGGGCTGAGAGTAATTTCCCTCTGGATTGCTGCAGTGTTTTTTCTTTGTCAGTTCTCATGTCCAGTAGAACCCAAATATGTTAAAATGTGATGTGAATCTCCCTGTGCATTTATAAACAGATGCAAGGAGAAATGTGATGGGGACTTACTTCTTGAAAAGTTTATCTTTCTGAACTAGCCCAGTTTGTCTTAACTAAATCAAAAGCTGGAGATTTGGAGAGGTGTCCAAACCATCAGTGGAATGCATTGAAGCTGCTAATGGTTATTGATCAGTTTTTAAGCTGAAGAAATTCTCCAGTATTGAACATTCTGCACAGCGGGGTACTTTTCCCATCCGTAGGCTATTTTAAGAGCTGGAATCAAGACATAGGGTGAGATGAAATGCCCTTTGCTTTCTATTTAAAAATATATCTGTAGCATTAAAAACAGGAGAGATTCTGAGAATAGCATGTGTCCTGTTTATTGGACACTGAATATATAATAGCTGCTATCATATACCAGGGCAAAACAGATGGTAATGGCAGTTGTTTAGTCTGCTATACTATACCCAAGTTACCTGGGAGTAAGCACCATAGAATTTAATGGGACTTAACATTTTGAGCTAACTGCTAAGCTTCTGCTAATCTTCACCATATACAAACAGCACAGAAGTATTTGACTGTTGAAACAAACCTCAGCAGTTTTGATACCTGTTCTTATATTGTATTTTCAGAGCAAAGTATAGCCTATGTAAAAATTGAAAAGAGTGTGTATACATCTATTTAACACAAACACAGCAGAAATGTACCATTTACCCATTGAACAGGGTGAGGAACACATTTCCTTTCTGCATCTGTAGCTGTTCAATTGAAACCAGCTGAGCTGAGATTCTAACAATGGGTGTGGCCAAAGTGGAAGTGGGTGGAGCTTACAAAGTAGGCAGAGGTCCACACGTGACCCTTGGACTGGAGCTTTTCTGCCTCTGCTGTAGAAGAAACACGGCATTAAGACAATGAGACTTGAGGGTTTCTAAACTCTCTCATCCTATTTGTGGGTAGTACAGTTAGGGAGGCCATTTTGTCAAATATTCTCAAAGGGATGAGAATATTTGTGTGTGTGTGTGTGTGTGTGTGAGAGAGAGAACTACCCTCTTTCTCTCTGTTCCCCCCACACCTTGGAAGCACCACAGTTTTTGAGTGCACTTTTAATGACTTTTAAATGCAGTGGTTCCTCAGGTCTTCACAGTAGCTCTTAAGGTGAAGCTCTATGTTTATGTATTTTGGGCAGTAATACTAAGCCGGCTTATTTGGAGAAAAGTTCTTTTGAAATTAACACATGCTACTCTTTTGTTCCACTCTTATGACAACCTCATTATTGACTTCTGCAAATCAGTACACAGGCTTCTTTTAAGATAAACTTGCTAGTGTTACACATTTGCAACCGTATGCTGTAGAACTGCTTTCTGTCTGCAGATGCTTAACATCCCCAAGAAGTTGCTCAGATTCTGTCAGTGGCCTTTCTGAGCAAAGTCTGTTGATGTAGATTTCCCATGTGCACAGTGACAGTAAACTCTGGATAGATGCTACTACCAAAGAACCATATACTCCTCTGTAGTGGTCACTTCTGCTTAACTGGTGCAGAAGGATATGCACAAAATGGCTTGCAGCAAAATGATCAGTTGTTTCACAGTCTGGTCATTCCTTTTCTTACATGAAGGTTCTCTCCTTACAGGAAACAAGAATAGTATGTATAAAATGGCCTAAACAGAGAAGAATATTGCTAAGCTGAGTTTTCAGCCCCCACTTCCTGATTCCCCTGAGATGGGAGATTAGCAGGTGATGGAGGAGTGATGTTACAAGGTTGCTGCCTCCCTTGCAAACCCTGTTGTTCCAGTGTGACCTGTTCCTTAGATCTAAAACCGGTTCAGCAGTTTTAGCCAAGTGACACTATGCATGAATGGCTACATAACGGATCCCTTCTCGCTTGCTCTTCACGGTTTCCAAAATGGCCCTCTTCTCCCACCCACAGACTTTAATTTGCATCAAGTTAATGAAAGTGATTGTGACCACAGAGTGTGTGGGAAATGCATTTTGTGGAGTAGAAAAGATAACCCCCACCCCCACCACCCCCATTCCTGGTGAACTGTGTATGATATAGGAATGGCTCTCAGAAAGCTACATACTTGTCTGAAACCTGGGGAGAAAATGTCTTCAGCCTCAGGAGACTTCTCTTGGAAAAATGCAAGACTTGTTCTGCTTCCGCAGGCCAAAGTCTACTAGTCCAGGAATGTATCTTGAGACAGTGACTAGCTGGATTCTTCCGGAAAGCATATAAGCAAGGGTGGTGATGGTGACGGTTGACAGACATCTCTCGTTTGCTACCAGTTTATGGTAGCGGGAGGTGTGCTGTCTCCGCATTTCCGTCTGTGGTTATTGCAGTTAATAGACATCCACAGATGCAGGAAGCTGCCTTACGCCAAGTTAGCCTGTTGGTCCTCATAGTTCAACATTCTCACCTCTGCACTGTCAGGTAGAAGCTTTCCAGACTTTTTGTGCAGGTGTCTTTCTCAGTTTTGCCAGGAGATGCTGGGGACTGAACTTGTGCTCAGCAGGGTTCTATGACTGGGGTTTGATCTGTTTCCTGCCCTCTAACTTGCTTAATCAGGGATTTTAAAATGTTGTATTATGGAGTGTTACTATCCTGATTTCTTATACTATGACTGGCTTGTGAAGCCCATTTAAAAGGCATACTGATTATTTTAGTAGACTCCTTCTGCACTCTGCACTGTAACAGGAAGACATGGAAGGAAAGGGGCAAGTATTGCCTGGCAGTCGGCAGCTGTTGCTCCATTTGCACATACTCTTCTTGAGTTGTTTCTCCGCCAAGTCATTCCTGTACGGGACAGGTTCTTGGAAAGATGTCTTATGTGGGAAGCAGAGTGCTGAGGTTTCGTGAAGGTTTTGCCACAGCTTCGCTGGGAGCAGTCTGCAGGCTAACAGCTCCGGTAGGAACATCAAGAAACATACGCTTTCGGTGTGTTTTGGGGTGGAAGGTGGTTGCCAGGAATTAGAAAGCCTGTAGTTCTGTATGTGCGGTAGAAGGAATGGCAGAATAATTTAGACAAGGAAGACTATTTTATTACTTTCCCACCTTCTTAACCTGCATTACAGGTTACTTGTCCAATTTGGAGTAAACACAATGCAAACTGTGGCGGTAAAAGAGACACAATAAGTGAGGATCCCAAGAAAACTATGTTGGAGTCTTAAGAACCAGCCTTCCCCAATCTGGTGCCTTCCAGGTGTTTTGGACAACAGCTCCTGGCCATTGGCCATACAGACTGGAACTGATGGGACTTGTTATCCAAAACATATGGAGAGAAGCAGCCTGGAGAAAGCTAGTGTAAACATTCCCTTTCAATTCCCCATCTCTTTGGTAGCATGCACTGCCCGCTAGCCCTGTATTTGGTCTGCCAGGTTTCTGAAAAGCTCCCTACCTGGGAGCCTACAAAGAGGTCTTTCCCTCTGTGCTGTGGTTTGTTCGGCTGAATTCAGGAATCTACATTATTCCAGGTTCTTCTTGGGAACAGCAGTGAAACCCTTTGTTTTAATTCCTTACTGCAGTAGATAAGTTTGCAATTCAGGATGCTGAAACGAATAATTCCAGAGCTGCAAATATACATGGATTTATGTAGATCTCCATTTGCATTTTCTAAAGATCATCACTTAATTACACACAGCAGAATGTGTTGGATGATGCTGGGCTCTTTTTACTAATGACCTGTGTGCTGTTTTTTCTTCCCAGGAGTTGACTTTAAAATGAAGACTATAGACGTAGATGGAATTAAGGTCCGGATACAGATCTGGTAAGTGATCCAGTATTGCAGCACAGAGTGTTAGGGAGCTGGATTTATTTGGGAGACCACTGAAGTATTCTTCCTCACTGTGTGACCTTAGGCAAATTCCACATTCTCAGCATCAGTACTTTATCTGTAGAATGGGAATGACAGTAATGGTACTTGCAGTTGCAAAGTGAGCCCACATGCCAGATGTAATGTGCTATGAAAATGAAGTGTTTTGTACATGATCACAAGCAAAGAGAAATCAATATCCTCTATTGTAGAGCACCGATAAACAGTTCATCGTTATTTTTATTATTTGTATTATTTTTATATAAACTATGAGTTTTGAGGGGGTTTGCAGCTCCCCATTTCTGGTATATTGCCAAGTTTCTGTGGTTGCCTAGATGGGGATATTAGTAGTTTTTCTAAGTGTGGAGTAAAGATCCATGCTCTAGACTGCACTAGGGGCTTTCCCAGACAAATTTTATGTGTGTGTGCACGCGCATAAGAAAACACTTGTTTTTCTCTTCAAGAAATATTCATGTTAGTATGTACCACTTCAGCAGTATCAGTAGAAGAGGGAAACCCTGGGCCACAGATTGTAATTTGTTTTAAAAGTTGTTATTTCATCAATAAACAATAAAATAGGAAAACACAGTTGGGACCTAAGAAAAGTCATCCTGGGTCAGACTGTCCAGACCAGCACTCCATACACACGGTGGCAAACCAGCTCCCTACAGGATCCCCGAAGCAGCATGGGAGCAAGATCTCTATCCGCTCACGCTGGTCACCCGCTGGTGTGTGCAGGCACGCTGCCTCTAATAACACAGCCAACAAGGCTAGTAGCCATGCAAAGCCGCTTCCTCCTCCATGAATTTGTCCACTTTCTTTTTAAAGCCATCCAAATTGGGGGCCATTGTACTTCCTTGTGGCAGTGAATTCCGTAGTTGAACTGTGTGCTGTGTGAAGAAATACTTCCTTTTACCTGTCCTGAAGTTCCCACCAATCAGCTTTACAGAGATGCCAAGTTCTAGTATTGTGGGAGAGGGGAAAAAGGTCTCCCTCTCCGCTTTCTCCACACTTTGCATAACTTTAAATACCTCTATCATCTCCCCCCTTACTCACCTTTTTTCGAAGCTAAACAGTCCAAGTTGTTGCAGCCACTATTTCCAGGGGAGTCGCTCCAGTCCCTTGATTGTTTCCATTGCCATTCTTTGTACTTTTTCCAACTCAGTAATGTTCTTTTTCAAGCAAGCATGAAATTACTCTATTGACACTGATTGGCATCTAGAACTGTAGAGCTAAACTTCCTCTTGAGCACTTAACAGCCTAGATTTAGCTTGGGAGTATTCATCCGGTCTTTCCAGATATTTGCATGTGATTATGGAGGTTTCAGGCACCCATCACAAAAACCCAGTGTTGCCAGAATGTTATTGAAATTACATTATTGCATCAGTCTCTTGGCTCTTTGGTTAATTTTTCTAGCAAGACAATATCACAAAGCCTCCTTTCCCAGCTTTCAGTTAACAGTCCGCTTGTGGATTTCTAGACTTATGTAAGCCATTTGATTTCCAGTTCACAAATGCCATGGCTTATACACTCCAGCAGTGGAGGAGGGTGGTAGACAGCCCTCAAAGAACTATTCAAAAACAAGTGTCAAAAGCCTTCTAAAATGGGGAATTGCTGCCTTGTTGCATATGAAAAAGCTGTTTTTCCTGGAAGGCTTTAGGTAGGATTGCTTTTGGAGGAGTGGATTTAAATCTGTCCAGGAGGGGGCAGGTGACTCACATATACCTCCAAAGCCAAAGAGCACTGTGTGTTTCGGGCACATCTGCAGGAAACTTACCTTGTCACAATATTAGCAGTGCCCATTTCTGGGCTAAAGAGCAAGTCATTCATGCAGACTGTCTTGCTTTACGAGTTTAATGCAGATCTGCTGTTTGAGAACGTTTTTTGTACCGCCTTGTCTTCTGAGACCAAGTTCTGGGGCACCCAGCATTTCCTGGCAGAGTGGAGGATTCGTGCATTTGCAGGAAGTACTTCTGACAACATTTAAAACTTCCTGTCACAGGATACAGGAGGAGAGATGGGATAATGGGGCTCAGTCCATCAACATGGCTGAGACCATTGCTGTGTGGCACATCTCCTTCCTGAAATGTTTCCATTTATCTAACTGGAAAATGCAGGGACTGAATTTGCTTATTTTCCACATCTTTTGTCATCCCTTTTTTCTTTGTATCAGGTCTAGGAGACAGTAAGATTGCAGGCATGAGGACCTTCTTTGTAAATCATTGTATGGCACCTGGACATTTTAACTGTTTTATAAAGAATAATAATTCCACCCCATGGCCCTCACTCTGTGTGTGCTGCCCATAACCTGGAGCAGCTGGAGTTTGTTTGTTTAATCTCCTATGGATGAAGAGTAGTCAGTATTGGATGGTACTACAAAGGAGCGTACATTTACAATGCGATTCTGTGCATGCTTGTTCAGAAATAGGTCCTATTTATTCTTTAGTAAGTATGCATAGAGCTACAGTCCTTTTCAATATCCAGGGCTTTATGTATTTGGCACTTTGATGCAGAACTTTGGCATCCTTGTTTTTTTGGCGGGGGGGGGGGGGATTGTTTTAGTTTTTGGCTTTTGTTTCTTTTGTTTTTTCCCATGCCCATTGAAAAGTAGGACTCTGTCTCTCCTTTTCTTTTCTTTTCTTTTTTCATTTCATTTCATTTCATTTGTATGCCACCCCATAGCCCATAGGGCTCTCTGGGCAGCTTACAATAGAACAAAAAAGAGTACATATTCCATAAAAATACAATAATACATTAAAGCAATACAATTAAACAATACAATATTTAACTGTAAGCAATACAAAATCAAACAAACCTCAATACAATAATATAATAATGCAATAGATAAATACAATAGATAATAATGCAAAGCTCCCTGCTTCCGGACAGCTCCTTTAGAAGCATGTCTCCTCTCCCCTTCCTCCTTGACGGCGCTGCTGTTTCTCCCACAAACGGCAATGCCAAGCAAGGTCGAGTTGGAGACTGTGAGGAGAACGCAGGTGGCCCCCACGCTGGCCTGCGGTGGGTGAGAAGCAGTGGCGGAAGCAGCAGGCGGGAGGTGAGGTCCAGAAATGCGTGAGCAGAGGCTTAGCAATCAGAAGGGACAGGATATGACCCTTCTCTGCTGTTAATTCATTTGTTACCAATTAGAAACTTTTGCCTAGGATAGTCCTCTAAAATATCATGAAACATCCTCAATCTCCCTAGACTCAGCAATACAAAGTCTTTGGTGGGTTGGGGTGTTATTACATGTCCCTTCCAAAAATTCATACACTGTCAGCATAGGACTGTGATTGACTTTCTTAAAGGGACATGATATTGCAATGTTTTCCAAATCAAGTGCCCTTTTATATAATGTGTACCAATTAGAATAAGACATTTATGAACTTAAATATATATCCTACCACCCAGAGAGCCCTGCTTGGGATTATTGGGTGCAGGCTTATAAATCAAATAAATAGAGACAAATAATTACTTTGGACATCTGTTTAAATCTATTTGAATAAGGTAAAATATAGATAGCTCCAGTGTAGGCATGTAAAATGGTTACCCAAGAGTTCTGAGATGGAATATGCAGGTGTTCCTGAAAACATTGCTTTGGTAGATGCCAGTCTCTGATATAAACCAATTTTCAATCAGTACAAGGCAAGTGTAACATGAGCGCAAGTTTCTATAGAAATTAATCCTACTTCTGCCATCAGAAGTGCTGCAGGTGTATCTCTGCAGACAGTCAGCAGAGATCTCATGAAAGAGTTCTGAACCATCTCCGTGATGGGTGTGTTTGTATATCCCACAACTCTGCACCAAACATCTATTGTGGGCCTGCCTTCTTCAGAAACACTTCAACTGCAGGTGCAATGAAATTCCTTCCACCTTGGAATATAAAGAACCCCATCAGATATTGAATGTATTGAAAAGATTTCAACTCGACTGCATCTGAATGAAGCTACAGGTGTACAGAACTGCTTACTTTGAGAATGAAAACTGGGTTTTCTTGATGTAGACCTTTCAAGTAGAGGACAGAAATATATAAATAACATGTCTTCTGGATTGCTGTTTCTCATGCTTCCACTCTGTTCCTTTGGTTGTATGTAACCATACTATGATTTTTAAAGTCAGTTTTATTCTATTATTTCTAAATGTGCTGAACTTTGCCCTTTTTCTGATATCTACAGTAGAGTCATGTCATATACCATCCCTGTGAGGTTTTGAGGCAGAGGTTTAGGGCATGAAGGCCCCAAACCAGATGTCAACAGGTATAAATCTCTACTCATGGTAAGGATGTCTGCTTCTGTTCCAGGGACACTGCAGGTCAGGAGCGATACCAGACCATCACCAAACAATACTACAGACGAGCCCAGGCAAGAGTCTCTTTTTCTAGGTTAGGAGTGGTGTCAGAAATACAGGAACATTGGTGGCCAGTTGCCGAAGTCATTTCATTGTCAGCCTCAGTGTCCTTTCTCTTCATCAACTGGTGTCAGAGATACAAGCACGGTTTTACAGAAACCCGGCGAGATGACCTAGTGGATGGGTTTGGGAGACATTGGTTTTTTTTACTTTGAGATCTAGAGCATTTGCTCTAATGCTGACAAAGATCGACACTAGGACTAAGCAAGGGCCCCAGTTTGCACCAGCTGGGCTGGCAGCTGGCTTTTTTGCTTCAAGTAGTAAAATGGCTTGGGCCAAATTGGTAGGACAACCAGGGAGTTCCTCAATAATGAGATTGTTGCCTTAATTGTGGGGATTTACAGCTCTTGATACATTTAATGTCCCACTAGCTCTGCCTCCTGTGCTAAAGCTGCAAACACAGGCTCCCCCAGCTGGTGCCCTCCCAGTGCATTGGACTACAACTCCCACAATTCCCAGCCAGTATGGCCAATCTGAAGCACACCTGGTTCAAGAAGGCTGTGCTAAGCCATTTGGTCTAACAGCAGGCGACATCTCGGCAGTTCAAATGTGGCCCTGATGCAGAGAACCACTTGGCCTCCACACACCTGTTCAGTCAAAGCTGTGGCAGGCGAATGTTGATCAGTGTTGTGCCTGGCTGTTGCTCTCCCTCGCTGGAGGTCTTCAGGCTGAAGTTGGACAGCCATTTGGTGGTGGTGCCCTGCTCCTTGATGCCTTCCATGGAGAAGTAGGTTGAACTAGATGACCTAAGCAGCCCGTGCCCAACTCTCTGCTGTTTCTATGAACCAATGGGAGTTTTAAGATAAAAATGCCTCTCCATTAACTAAATACTTTGGCTTGGATCCAACAATGACATCCCACTCTCTGAAGTGGTTCTGTCAGCAGAATGGGAAGTGGGGAAAGCAATTTCCTCCACTACCCCTGCACTGCTTTGTGACCTCAGAATCTTCTCCAGAGGTCTAAGAAACCTCTATAGCAGAGTTTTGAGAAGATTGGAGGGCTGCAGGGGAGAGAGAGAGACTCCTGTATGCTAGCAAACATCCACTAATGTGACCTAGAATTTAACCCCTTGGTTCCTTATTCTACCTTCCAAATGCTTCAAGCAAGCTACATACAACATTGTCTCATATCTATGTGCATACGCAAGTATGCACATGCATAACCCTCCTGCACTCTCTGACATGTTGAAGGAGAAGCAGAAATGCCCAGTTCCTTTTCTACCAATCTCTCACCATCATTCTTTGGGGAGTGGGGATGCTTGGGCATGTTAGTACTTCCACGATTATAAAGGCCATTTCATTTTTTGGATTATGTGAGACTTGCCTTTTCCTTGCTCTCTTCTTCTGCTTTTCTGACTTGATTCTCTCCTCCAGGGGATATTCTTGGTGTATGACATTAGCAGTGAGCGCTCGTATCAGCACATAATGAAATGGGCCAGTGATGTGGATGAGGTACGTGGAAAGGTCCTTTTGCTTCCTCCCACTTTTCTGGAGAGTAAGAATGCATAAGAGAGGACACCATGGCAAATGGAGGCACAGCCCCAGCTCAGAATGGATGCACAGCCTCCTTGCACAGAGAAAGCACATATGTGATTGGTAGTGATGTGCGAACATGCAGTATCTGAACTTGTCGAGGGTCCCTGAATTTTTCCTCCAAACTTGGCCTGTGCAGTTTCCACCCATTAATTAAAGTGTGAAACTGCACTCCTTTTTTAAATGCAGACCTTTCAAACGGGTTCACAGGCCAGAAACCTGCAAACATTTTCTCTGACATGTGCTCATGTGTGCCATCAGGGTCTTTAAAGTGACTTCTTTAGATGCTTTGTGAACAAAAATGGAAACATCATACATTGCTAACCCTTGGTATTTCTGGGCTGTATGACTAAACCAACCTCAGAAACTTCAGGAGTGGTGTTGGTATCCATGGGGTGTACACATACTTCTGGAATGTCAGTATCCCTGTTTCTTAATAAACTAATTAAAGGAAACAAGGATAAACTCAATTGTAGCAAGTACTAACTAGAACAATACTTGGGAATGAGCACAACATGCGATAAATTCCTGTGTCAGTTTCCTGTAGTATTAGTCAGTTATCCCTGAATAAGCCCTCTGCTTGTCTCCTTGCACACATCCATTAGCTGCCTTTAGGACGGGTAGGCAATCTGTTTTCCAAATGTTTTGGACAAAACCCCCATAAACTTATCACTGACCATGCAGTTCCAACACATCTAGAAGTCATCAGGTTGCCTGCCTTGCTTTAGGATATTAAGGAACTTTGCAGATCAGTCCTGCCAAATCTGTGTCCTTCCAGATATTTAGGACTGCAGCTCCAGCATTCCTGATAATTAACTATATTGACTGATGTGAGTTAAAGTCTGAAACATCTGGTGGATGCCAGGTTGGGGCAGCCTGTGTAAATAGCCACTTGGTGACTTCTTCATACTGTGCCACGACTGCCATTGAGGTAATCTGTTCCTTTTGTGCTGAAATTAACTGGGAGATGAACAGGTCTGGTTTGAAAGAATGGGAGCCAGTCCAGAGGCTCATCTCTGGTGGCTCATGGGATCGATCCTGTGCTTGCCTGACTTTGCCTAAACTTGGTTGCAACCCCATTCTCTGCAAGAGAGGCCTATGGTGCTTCTGATTGCTGCGCAAAATCAGGAATGTGTTGCAAGGCACCATATTCCCGGTAGCTGCTTTGCAGTGATGAAAGAAACTGTTGCTGTGAAAATTCTCCACTTGGCACAGGTGTGAGGTGTAAGGCAGTCCTACGTCTGAGCAATACCTTCTGGCTCACTGAAAACCAGGCTTAGTTCTCGGGTAGCTCCCCATGTGTGCAGGCTGGAAAGAGCTTTCCTTTCTCCTTCTCTCCAGTATGCTCCAGATGGTGTCCAGAAGATCCTCATTGGGAATAAAGCAGATGAAGAAGAGAAGAGGCAAGTAGGCAAAGAACAGGGCCTCCAGGTAAATGCCTTGGATATGTACTGGTCCTCCTCCTCCACAGAAGCCTCACACTAATAGCAGATGAGCTAATGCAGCTGCTTCTCAGCTGTGCCACTTCAGACTAGAAGGCTGAATGCTCCTTGGTACTAAAAACATCCCTCTGCATCAAAAACGGGCTTCTTGTGAACAATCCTCCCTCTGTGGAGGGAATTTGTGTGCTTGTTTACAGAGGAGCATTCGATCATGTGGGGACCTCACCAAGGATCGGCCCACCGGTTTTACTTCTTTCATACTGAAGTGGTACACTCAGAAATCAAATGTATCATCTCATCTGCTAGGGGTGAGAAAAAGTGCAGTGTTTGATTTAGAAAGTAAAGCAGGAGAAAGCAGTTTAAGTTTGTTAAGTTCAGAAATGTGTGGAAATGGGATCGGGCACCTGGTCTCTTTCCTGCATAGACAAGATTGCTTTATGGCAGTGATGGTGAACCTTTTAGAGACTGAGGGCCCAAACTGCAGCCCAGAACCCACTTATTTATCCCAACGTGTCAACACTGCAATAAAACCTGAAAACTGAGGTTTTCGTTTAGAAAAAACAACTCTCAGCCAGTCCAAGCAAGTGTGTGTGTGTGTGTGTGTGTGTGTGTATCCCTGGCAGCGCACTGACCAGCCATGCGAAGGCTTGGACAAGTCGCGGCTAATGAGTCGCGGGATGTGACATCATCGCCTGGCACCGCTACTCCTTTCCGAGCATGCGCATAACACCCCCATGTGCGCTGTTATCTGATGCTCGGCTGCTGGGGTGCCACTGGGGCAACTTGGCTTGAATGCTGACAAAGAGGGCTCTGTGTGCCCACTGTGGCACGTGTGCCATAGGTTCCCCACCACTGGCCTAACCCTATCCTGGTGCACTCCCCTAACCCTAACATAGGGGCAAAATACCATTGAAAGGGAAAATTTTGAAAAAGCCTTCCTTGAATAGCTTTTTCTGTACAGCTCAACATTTCTGCCCATTCTAAACACACTCCAACCATCAAAATCATACCAGGACACCTTGTTTTTCTAACCCTAACCTAGTGATGGCGAACCTTTTAGAGACCAAGTGCCCAAACTGCAACCCAAAACCCACTTATTTATCGCAAAGTGCCAACACTGCAATAAAACCTGATAACAGTCAGTCCAAGCAAATAGATATATATCCTTGGCAGTGCAGGGACCAGTCATGCGAAAGCTCGGAAGAGTCGCGGCTAATGTGTCGCCGCTTGTGATGTCATTGCCTGGCCACACTACTCCTTTCCGAGCATGCGCATGGCCCCTATGTCTGCTGTTATCGAATGCTCGGCTGCTGGGGCAATGCTGGGGCGACTTGGCTCACATGCCAACAGAGAGGGCTGTGTGTGCCCGCTGTGGCACACGTGCCATAGGTTCGCCACCACTGCTTTATTGTGTGATCGCTCATGTTTTATAAAAAATGGAGCTGAGATCTGGAACTCAGTTTGCCAACCCTGCACTTGTGAAGGGTAAGGTGTGAGAACTGATATGCTGCTGAAGCTGTTTCTTTCCTTATGCCAAAGCTCCAAACATTATCTAACCTGCCTTATGAGACCTGTCTTCCTAGATTTGGAGGGGGAAAAGAAATAGGACCATTGGGTTTGAAGAACCTGTTGCAATATATTGGCAGTCATTATATTTGTATGAGAACCTGTCAGAGCTTCTGTCTTTCAGCTGGCTAAAGAGTATGGCATGGATTTCTATGAAACAAGTGCCTGTACCAACTTGAACATCAAGGAGGTAAGAACCTCACATTTGGAACCTCTGAGGGCCAGTGGGAGAAGAGAGTACAGTGCTGTGGCAGAGCAATTTGAGCCAAAGAGTACAGAAGATCCCTGGGAGCCCCCTTAATTCTTTCTTTGTAACATCCACTAGTCATCCCTTCCTTGGGAAGGAAAGCAAAGTGAGATGCTGTAGAGCTGCAGAGATAAGCGCTATTTCTTTGTCTCTGACCTCTTTCAGTCATTCACCCGCCTGACGGAGCTTGTCCTTCAGGCCCACAAGAAGGAGCTGGATGGACTCCGCATGTATGCAGCTGATGAACTGAACCTGGTGGAGCTGGAGGAAGAGACAAGCAAACCTGAGGGCACAGAGCATTCTCCCAAGACCTGCTGGTGTTGAAGGCCCTCCCAGTGTTCTTCCTGCCCTTGATCCCAGTGCAGGTAGAAAGGTTGCCACCTGGAGAGGGTTGGTTTGCTGTGCTCCATCCCTCTGGGCCTTTGGTTGCCACCTGCCCTGCCTGGATTTCTTGGTGTTTCTCCTTGATTAGTGATTTCTGTTGTCCCCAAACTCCCTGGATCCAAATATCTGAAAATGGGTTCGCAAGTAATGCAAAACATCGCCCTGCCATCTTTATGGAAGAGCTGTGGTGGGCAATCACAGCTGGGGTCTGTCCCGCATCCTCTCAGACTCCAGGAGCCCTGCAGCTTTACCCCTCTCTGTGCTGTGTGGGGCAGGCCAGTCCTGTGCGAGCAGGGCCCTCAAAGCGAAGAAAGCTCTCTGTTCCCTTATCTGCTCTCCAGGCAGCCGGGTTGCTAAAACCACCCCTATAACAAGTCTGCAGAAGCCTTGTTAGTCCTGCCCCAAAGTGCTTTGCCTTGTCATTTCACTATTTGCCTAATTACTGTGCAACTCTGAGTAGGGCTCCGGTGGGCTCTGACTCCTTGGAGACTGGGGTTTTACACCTAGAGTAGATTTTCCTCTGGACATCTTGTCAAAAATGGGCCTTGCTCCAAATTTTGCAGCAGTCCAGTTGCTCCTAGCCTATGTAGCAGGGCAAGAGGAGTCCAGCCCCCTGAGAAGGGTTTGTATGGGGAGATTTGGGGCTCTAACGTAGTCCCACCAGACTAGTTGCAGGGGAAAAAAGATTTGTTTCTTCCTAGCCAACTCAGACCCCCTTCTAGAACTCTGTGGAGCCCTGCGCTTGGGAGCAAGCTGGAAAAATACCATTTCCTGTGATGTTGCCGAAAAAGAGGTCTTCCCTTGACTTCACCTGGGTATCTTTGAGGGAGGCTGCTGCTGCGTCAGATACCCACTTAGGCTCTATCTCTGTGCCATTAGAGGCCAAGAAGCCTGTCCATGGGGCACATGCTCAGACCTTTGAGATCCCCCTTCAAATGATTGCCCAACAACCCCCCAAAGCCCTGGTATGGAAACACACATTGTGATCTGTGCAACTAACCATCCTTTACTATTCTTTCCATTCTTTTCTGTGCTGGAGGTCCAAAATGTAAGCTCTTGTTAAAGACCTCCTGGGCGCCTTTGGGAAGTTTCCCTGAAACGCAACTTAGTAAACCCCAGGCAGCAATTTTTGCCACATGCTGCTGACACGGCTCAGTCAGAGCCACCTAAAGCCAGCCAGCCTGCCTGCCTGCCTGCCTGCATGTTGCACGAGCCTCCGCCTCTTGCCTGGCTGTTGACTTGCTTGATGGAGGAGGCCTAATAACACACTCAGCAGCATGCCCAGGTATCCTGTCTGTATGTCTGCGTGCTCCGCGTAGATGCCCCTCGCGTTCCAGCGCCTTGGAGGATGCTCCAGCTCCCTTCCTATACGTGTGCCAGAAATGGGCCCCTCCCGCTGGCTCAGGAAGGACGGCCGTCAGCCAGAGACCTTTTGGGCAGGACATGGTGGCAGCACTGAGATCCTGCTGCCACGGCGTGCCCGCCTTTGGCAGGGGACTCACACAGGAGCCATTCGGTCCACAGTAAGTGGTTCTGGCAGCCTCGGCCTGTGTGGGAACTGCCTGCTCCTAGCCACAAGCCAATGGCAGATGGATGGACATGCCATTGCTCTTTTCCTCTTCCTGGATATTGACGCGCGCTCTCTCTGATTCTCTATGGAGCGGATTCCATGATGTTACATAACGAAGGAAGGAAGAGTTGCACAGCCTTCCCCAACCTGGTTCCCTTTTGGACCACAACTCCCAGGATCCCTGAGCATTGACCATACTGGAGGGAGCCAATGGGAGTTGAAGTCCAAAACATATGGAAGAAAGGCTGTTGAATAGCATATGGAAGAAGAAGGGAACTAGTATGGAATGGAAAGAACACTGGCTGTCTTGATGCCAGTGCTTTGCTATGAGAGTGGGGTGCCTTGCAGTTCGGAAAGGGCTCCAGTCTGACCTTTTCCCATGTGCTGGGTGAGTTTGACCTAGTGTCAGGAAATGGCAGCATTTGAAAGCAGTGATGCTCGACACACACTGCGTGTTGCCGGTGGGAAGGCTCCTGTGCTACAGTCACCTTACAGCAGGGACTGCTGAATGATCCCTTTCAGAATCTGTGAAGAAAGCCCGACATGGTTGAACAAGGCAGCGTATGATTGCCCCGCCAGAACAAATGTGACACTAGAGATGCAGCGGATGCTAATTAGAGGCACACGTTGCCATTAGCCCGTTGGGAGATTTTGTGCAGTAGAGCCCGAGGTCTGCCAGCAAAGGAAGCGCTGCAGCAAGATGAGTACAGGGAAGATATTGGGGCAAACTAGGAAGCTTTGCCTGAACACAGCAGGCAAGCGGAGATTGAAGGCTGGGCCAAAGCAAGAGGAGGGTTCCCCCTCCTGTATCTTTTCACGCAGCCCAAGTATGATGGGGCTGATTCTCTGGGGCCTTGAATGAACTCACTGGCTTTGGTGTGCCTTAGGCGTGATCACGTAAGGGTGATATGAAGAAAGAAAGCCAGCTCATACGGACTTTCTGTCCAAGTCTGGTAGCTATTTTCTCCTCCTCCTCCTCCTCCTCCTCCCTGCGCCTTCTGCCTAGATTGTAGTAGCCACAAGGTGAATAGGTTGGTTTGGCATGGCTGCAGGTAGCAGGCTGCGTGGGAAGGCCGATGGTAAGTGTGTAGTTGTGTCCGATGGCTATGAACAACCCATTTCCCGTGGGTTCCATGCCATGTGGGATGGGAATAAAACAACAACCGTGGTTAACCCCTGCAGAGTGGCTGTCTTTTTCACACAGGCCCTGATCTCTAAGACTGTTGGTTGAGCTGTCTTCAGAAAGGTGTGTTGGAAAGGATCAGGGAGGGAAATGCCTCTGTCGCTGGAGGGTGGGCACTGCAACTAGTTCAAGTGTCCAGGATTCTGGAGCTCTGCAAGCTTATAAGACATATTACAGTGTTGGCCCTTGCAGGGCCCATCAATATGTCTCCTGTAGCTCTTCCTCACCTGTTGCAATCCAGCATCATGTTGGTGCCGCTTGCTCCACCTAGGATCTTAGCTGTTTTTCCACCAGTATAATAGCTGAGCTGCTGATGCTGTTACCAACGCACAAAATCAACTCTGATGTATCTTCGCAACACACCTGACAAAAGAGGGAGCAAGTGAGACTGCCATTGGTGAAGAGGAACTGGAGTTCTTAACGCCAAGACCCAGCAGTGGCTCTTTCTGCATTATAGAAACTTAGAAAAGGTGAAGCCTCTAGTTCATAATGTGGAGGAAAATAGACCACTGTGATAGTGCCTAGAGAGTTGAATTCTGGGTTGTTGGGCAACTCCTGCAGTTAGAGAATACCTCCCTAATCGATGCCAAATTTCTCTGTGCAGATTAGAGTGGTGCTTGATTTCAGGCCAGTGTTTGGGAGAAGGATTCTAGGAACCAAGTAGTATATTGTGTATTCTAAGGCTCCCTCTGCCCTACAAGTTATGGGTCATGGCAACTTATCTGTCTGTAAGCAGAAAATGTTGCACATAACCTGTCATGGGATCCAGCCAAATGTACAACTTCCTGAATCCTCTGCTGTGTCTGTAATTTGTGAACTTTGCACTCTGACTGGGTTTCCTTGTATGACCTGTCATTGTAACTCATTATTTTAACAAACAAAAATCTTTACAAAATAAATATTCTCAAAGTGGTTTGTGGCTACTGGATTTCCTAACTGGATGGCTAACTTAGTCCATACCACTGAGAACATTACAGGAACATAGAACGATATGTCAGGCGGGAATCCCTTCACGCTCCATACAGAAAATGGAATCTGCCAGAACACGTTTAGGATGTAGGTAGTTTAATTTGTGTTGCAGGAAGGTTGGCCAGAACAAGAAGTGACTCAAATAAACAAATCAGATGGAGAAAATTAGTCCATCATCAGCACTGCTACTGTTGCCACCTTAAATTGGTAGACTTCTGGCATTATCATTAATTCATGTGCATGTAATTTTTGACTATGTAATGAAGTATATAACTGCCCAATTCAAAATGATATTATTTGAACATTACAAATAGCACAAGCCTACATCAATGTATATGTTCTTATGGAATGGCATGTTAAATACCACATACCTCAAAATATCAAGGCAAATTCACATACTCTTCAAATAGGATTAGGAAAGAAATGTATAGAGCAAGGTGACTCGTCCTCATCTTCTACATGGATAATGTAGACATGGATAATGGTTAAAAGCAGGGTTGGGGAGCTGTAGCCTTCCAGATGTCATACTTTGATTCCAGTTACTGATGGCCAATGGTCTGAGATGATGGGAGTTGTAATCTTATCATCTGTAAGGCTGGTTCCCACCCCTGGACTAGACCCTTGTATATGTCATTGTCCAATCTTTCAGAAGCAGGAGTGAAGAGGAATGAGATCCATCCCTGATGTAGGTCTGTACCTCATCTTTGCACATACTGAACCAGAACTTAATGTAGGGAAGAATCTTGAATGACAAAACACCACCAGAGATGCCCACATGTCAGTGGACTGTAGGTATGTTATGAATTGCCCCACAACACTGGGTACACACAAGAAACCAGCCAGCTGTCCGAGATAAGGTAGCTCAGGCTTGTATGTCTCCCGACCTCTTTGGCGCAGTGGGTGCAGGCAGGGAGTGCTAAGTCTCGTTGCATGGTGAGTAACACAGACAATGCTCGCTGAGAGCCACAAACCACAAAGTTGATGTAGCTGCTTTGAGCTGAACAAAATAAGTTTTGGGGGGCCTTGGTGATCTTGGAATGCTTTGGCCAGGGCATTGGAGAAACTTGCAATAGGAAAGAGCATTCCTTTCATTTTCCTTCCTTTTAGAAAATTATCTCTGGTTACTGTACTCTGATTATGTGCCCTACCTTCCTCGAGCTCCCCAGCAATGTGATCTGGCTGTTAATAATTCAGCATGTTCCTTGTGCCAGGAGGAGC